CAGCCATCAGTTTAATAAATACAATTTTACTGGTACACCATATTGTCAACTGCTGCTTTTCCAGTTGCCAGAAACCAGATAGTCCACAAAGCTGAAATTATTTACTCTCCCTTTACAAAAATATTTGTGAACCCTCTTCTAAATAAATTACAGACGTGGGCAGCCCAGGTGGCTCAGCGGTTTAACACCGCCTTCAGTCGAGGGCGTGATCCTAGAGATCTGGAATCGAGTCCCATGTCAGGTTCCCTGTGTGGAGCCTGCTTCTCCCTCTGCCTGTGTCTCTGCCTCTCTGTGTCTCTCATGAATAAATAAATAAAATCTTAAAAAAATAAATAAATTACTGACACGCTTTTATTAATATCTGCAATATACTCTTATTTCTTCAAAAAGATATATAATGTTCCTTTGCAATCCATTTTTATACTCATGATAATTTAATGTACACAAAAGTAACCATTTGCATTCTTTCTCTACGATTTTATTTATTTATGCACAGAGAGAGAGAGAGGCAGAGACACAGGCTCCATGCTGGGAACCTGATGTGGGACTCGACTGGACCCTGGGTCTCCAGGATCATACCCCAGGCCGAAGGCGGTGTTAAGGCTGCCCACCTTTTGCATTTATTGATGTTAATGGAAACCATACTGGACCTCCTTCATGAGTTATGTTTGAGGACACCAGAATCAGTTTACATTTCAAAGGATTTGATGAACTATCCCTATGCAATTCTAATATTCCAAAGAAAAGAGAAACTGAACAATATACTAAAAGATCAAGAATTGAACTTGCTTACGTTTTTTGAAAATTGTAAAAAGAAACTGTCCATTTTGTAGATGACAACCTCAGCTTATAAAGAGAATCACCTACATTTACTTTTTTCTTTAAGATTTTATTTATTTATTTGACAGAGAGAGAGAGAGAGGGAGAGAGAGAGCACACGCACACAAGGAGGGGGATGGGGAGAGGGAGAAGCAGGCTCTCGGCTCAGCAGGGAGCCTGATGTAGGGCTCAATCCCAGGACTGTGACCTGAGCTGAAAGGCAGACGCTTAGCTGACTGAGCCACCCAGGCGGCTCCTGAACCACCTACACTTAAAGTCCCGGTACGGATTGTCAAATATCTTTTTTTTTTTTTTAATTTTATTGATTTATTCATGAGAGACACAGAGAGAGAGGCAGAGACATAGACAAAGGGAGAAGCAGGCTCCATGCTGGGAGCCCGATGTTGGACTCAATCCCGGGACTCTGGGATCACGCCCTGAGCCAAAAGCAGATATTCAACCAATGAGCCACCCAGGCAACCCTGTCAAATATTTTAAATAACTCTTTCTAAATAACACTTTATACAATCTTGAAAAAAATAACCACAGAGTACAAAAATTCATATCTTCTTTGCAATTTTCATTAAATTAGTCTGGAAATAAAACATGGTTTCTCTAGCCCTTATTGTTCAGTCATCATAGACCAAACATACTTGTTCAGGGTCACATTCTACATGCCAATTCACTTAATCTTCAAGTCAAGCCTAGGATTAAGGCACTATTTTTATCCTTACTTTGCATACGAAGAAACTGAGGCTCCGAAAGTTCAAGTGAAACTGGCCAAGGTCACTCTGCTATTAGGTAGTGGAACCAGGATTCTAATTGTAACATTAACTGTAGAGAATCTATACCATTAACACCTTGCTTTACTGCTCTTTCAGTTTAGGTCTCCTAATCGGTTACTACATCCAATAAAGAAAAACATCCCACAAAAACCCGACCAAAAAAAACTTGCTCTTCTCGTGGTTTAGACACCACTGCACAAAATCAGACCTCATAAAACAGGTAAAACAGTCTGCTGTGACTTTAAATAGGGAATTATTAGTGGACTTAAAATAATCTGTAAAAAGTTTACATATTACTCTTCAGGAAAATGTCACATAAAACAAAATACGTAAGTAGCTACAGCCAGGAAACAATCCCCACCAATCTGCTAACGATATATGATGTTAGCCATTTCGAGAGGTGGCCCGATGCACACAGAATACAGAATTAGTAGATTATTTAGACTTAGAATGGCTTGAGTCTAGACTCCCCCAAGTGTTTTTGAGACCTTGGGCCAATTACCAACTTGCTGTAGCTTCTCTTCAAATCTAGAAAGTGAAGCTCTTTTTTTTTTTTTTTTTGGCTGGATGATTTGTTGAAAGGATTTATTTTTTTTTATTTTTTTTAAATTTTTATTTATGATAGTCACATAGAATGAGAGAGAGAGAGGCAGAGACACAGGCAGAGGGAGAAGCAGGCTCCATGCACCGGGAGCCCGACGTGGGATTCGATCCCGGGGCCTCCAGGATCGCGCCCTGGGCCGAAAGCAGGCGCCAAAACGCTGCGCCACCCAGGGGTCCCCTGTTGAGAGGATTTAAAACAAGAAAACGTCTTGGACGCATCATGCCAAATAAATGCTGACTTATCACTCTGGGCTCTCTACCCAGAACCACCAGATTCCAAATCTCCAAGACAAAGGATGCGGGAGAGCTTGGCTCTGGTCTCACAGAGTCAAAGAAGGAAATCTGGACAAAGGGAAGTGAGTAAAGCGACGGAAGTTTATTAAGCAAAGGTGCAGAGAAGGCTCTCAGGAGTGAGAGGAGTCCGGACAGGGTCGCCACTGAGGACTTGGCGGGGTTGGTCTTTTATTAAAAGCCAACCGGGGAGCCTCAATCCTTTAAACGTCTCTATCGATATCACCATAGAGTAAGGACTAGTGCTAATATCTTCAAAGGCTTCCTTCCTTTTCAGGTAATTCTTTTTTTTTTTTTTGGATTAATTTTTTTTATTTATTTTTTTATTTATTTATGATAGTCACAGAGAGAGAGAGAGGGAGGCAGAGACACAGGCAGAGGGAGAAGCAGGCCCCATGCACCGGGAGCCCGACATGGGATTCGATCCGGGTCTCCAGGATCGTGCCCTGGGCCAAAGGCAGGCGCCAAACCGCTGCGCCACCCAGGGATCCCTCAGGTAATTCTTTATTGGTCACAAGCCGCTGTTATAACTAGGCCTCACCTGTGGCACCCGGGACTGGATGGTCTGGTTTACTCACCTCTGGTCTGGCAAGCCGCTTTTGTCCCTAACTCAACAGCATCTTCCATCAAACCTCAAGTCTGCAATCACAGTACGACTATAATGAAACACTTTTGTGTATTTCTTAGGAATATAAGAACCTGGGCAGCTTGGGGGGGGGGGGGCACGCTCAGCGGTTTAGCGCCTGCCTTTGCCCCAGGGCGTGACCCTGGAGACCCGGGATCGAATCCCACGTGGGGCTCCCTGCGTGGAGCCTGCTTCTCTCCCTGTCCCTCTCCCTCTGTGTCTCATGAATAAATAAATAATAATCTTTAAAAGGGAAAAAAAGAAGGAATATAAGAACCTTAAATGTTATGGGAGTGTCAAAGAAGAGAGACAGGGGTGTAAGTTTTCTATATTTTCCCTTGGAGAGATTGAGAAATTCGTCTTTTTCTGGCTGAGAAATCAGCCTCTTTTTTCTTTTTCTTCTTTGGTTGTCAGAGTCAATCATCATCTAAAAAAAAAAAAATCTTCCTTTTTGATCGGCGTTCAATCCGTAACCGTCATCTCTTAAATCCCCGGTCCATTAGCTCGCACAGCCATCACGAATTCCGGGCAACCAGAATCTCCATAGACCCTAAAATCCCTACTCTTTCTGGCCAAGAACGTGCGTTCCTCACTCCCAGATGACACCCAGATGACACCAGGCTGGCGTCTTAAGGTACCAGTAAGGCCTAAGATAAAGGGCCGCCAAGGGGCAGAGACGGCGTCGAACCGGCTTCCGGCAAAGTTCTGCGGCGGCTTCTTCCTTCTTCCACACCGCGGCGGGCTCGGGCAGCCCCGGCCGCCGCCGCCGCGGCACGGTCGTCCCCTGACTCCGCAGGCCCCGGGGGCCTCGCTCGGCGGCGCGACCACCGCGGCCGCCGGCCCCGACTTCTCGGGCTGGAGGCACAGGCCCAGCGGGCGCCGCTCACAAGCTGACGCCGGGAGGGCAGGCCCCGCGGCCCGAGGCCAAGGCCGGGTCACGGTCGGGGAAAGGTCGCGGCGAGCCCGGGGCGGCCGGACGGCGAGGCCCGGGCGGGGGCGCGGGGGCCGCGGGGGCCGCGGGGGCCGCACGGGGGGGCGCGGGACAGCGACGCCCGGGCCCCGCCGCCGCCTCGGGCCCCCGCTCCGGCCGCCGCCACCCAGCGCTGCGCCGGCGTCGCCCCGCGCCCCCCGCCCCGCCCCGCCCCCCGCCCCGCCCCGCCCCCGCCCCGAGCGCCGCGGCCCCCGTGTCCGCGCTCACCCCGCAGCTGCGCCTGAGCACCGCGGCCATGGCCGCCCCGCGCCGCTCCTCCGCGCTCCGCCGCCGCGCTCGGCCTCCCCGCCGCCGCCAGCCGGGGTCCTCCCGCGCCCAGGGCCCGGAGCCGCCAGGCCCCGCCCCCGACACGGCCTGGCCCCGCCCCCGACACGGCCTGGCCCCGCCCCCCGGGGGTGGGCGCGGGATGGAGGGGGGAAGGGAGGGGAGCGTGTGCCACCGCCGCGGGAGGGCGCTTCAGCCGCGGCCGCGAGACCCCCGGAGGGAGGGGAGGGGAGGGGAGGGGAGGGGAGGGGAGGGAGGGGGAGCGCGTTCCACGCCGGCGGGACGGCGCTTCGGCCGCGGGTCCACGACCTCAGGCGGGTGCGGAGGGACAGGCAAGGGAGGGGGAGGGAGGGGTGGGGGAGGGGAGGGAGGAGGGGCGTGTTCCACGGAAACGGGAGGGGACGACAGAGGATGGAGGGAGAAGGGAGGGAGGAGAGGGACGGGAGGAAGGGAGAGGGGAAGGAGGGGAGGGAAGAAGAGGGGAGGGAGGGAGGGAGGACAGGGGAGGGGAAGACGCGAGAGGGGAGGGGAGGGAGGGGGAGGGAGGGGAGGGGAAAAGACGAGAGACGAGAGGGGAGGGAGGGAGGAGAGGGAGGGAGGGGAGGGAGGGGAGGAGGGGAGGAGGGGCGTGTTCGCGGAAACGGGAGGGCGCCCCCGCCGCGCGCCCCCGGGCGGGGAGGGCGGTGGAGCGCCCCCGGCGGGTCCGCGGAAGCCGGCGGTTCCCGCGCGCTCCGCGTCCGGGGAGGCTGCCGCCGGGGAGCGGGGCGGGGGCGGCGGGGCGAGGGCGCTGGGCGGCGGGGCGAGGGCGCTGGGCGGCCGCCCGCCCCTTGCCCGGGAAGCGCGCCCGCCGGGCCGGGTGACGCCGACCTTCCGTGACCTTGCCCGGCGCTCCCGGGCCCCTCCGCCGCCGCCGTCCCGCGGAGCTGCCCCGCCCGCCCTCGGCCTGCCCTCGGCCTGCCCTCGGCCTGCCCGGGTCGGGCCGCTGCTGCGGGGCCTTAGGCGCGGCGCGGGGTCGCGGCTTCCCGCCGAGGCAGCCGCCCGCCTCCCGTAGTGCGCGGGACTTGGCTTTTCAACCGCCACCGACCGGGTTTGGGGTGGATCCCTCACCGCTACGTCTTGTTAACTTGCTAAACAATCTTTTTTTTTTTTTTTTTTTCCTGCAAATGCCCTGCAGGCCAACCGTAATCCCATTGCGACCTGGTTTTTTTGATCCCTGTGCCTTGCTCCGCCAGGCCTGCGAGTTGCACCGCGTTTGCTGAGGCCAGGCACGAGGCCAGGCACGAGGAAGAAGCGTAGTTTAGGGCCAAATTCCAAGTTACAGGCACCGGGGAAACTCGGAAAAGGGAGAACTCGGTTTGTCCAGGAATCCCCCAAGAAAGCCTTCAAAGACCTGGGCAAAGCAGAGGACTGTTAAAGAAGGGTAGGATGGGATGGGGGGTGGGGGGGGAGATGGGTATAATAGGACTAATGCACCTCTGAGTTCTATTATTCTGAACATTTTTCAAGATGATGAAGGTGCACAAAAGGATGCAAAATCACCCTTGTGCTCATCACCTGGATTTAAAAACTGTTACTGTCCACGCGCATGTGGAATTTAGGAAGCAAAACAGGTGAACACGGGGAAAAATAGTTGTTACTTTTGTCATGATTGTTTTATTTATGTGAGTGTTTGGTGTCATTTTGTTTTTGTCAGAATCCTAAATTGAAACATTAAGATACTTCACTTATAAATAGACTTTAGGGCGGCCCCGGTGGCTCAGCGGATTAGCGCCTCCTTCGGCCCAGGGCCTGACCCAGGAGACCCCGGATCGAGTCCCACGTGGGGCTCCCTGCATGAAGTCTCTCTGTCTCTCTGGATAAATGAATAAATTAAAAAATAGTAATCCTTACACTCCCCCACAATAACGGATTTTTTTAAAGAAACAAAGCCAATTATCCTGAAGAATACCTATTTCTGAGTTGTCTGATTGTATTCATTTTTCCTCCTAAACCTTGTAGCTTCTATAAACAGCAAATTCCTGGAGGCTTCGGTAGCTTGCATCAAACATTTCACAAGAATGTTTTTTAGGTCCACTGTGTGATGTCAGGTTTATCTCACTGTTAGTAACAATAAGTTTGATCATTCGATTTTTTAGAAGAGATTTCTTTATTCATGAGACACACAGAGAGAGAAGCAGGCTCCCTACAGGGAGCCTGATGTGGGACTCAATCCTGGAACTTGATCCCGGGAATCCATCCTGGGGCTCAATCCTGGGACTTCCAGGATCATGCCCTGAGCCAAAGGCAGAGCTTAACCACTGAGCCACCCAGGTACCCCCTGGTCATTTGATTAACGCGCTGACAGTTCTGTTGTAAAGGCATGTTGTTCTCTTTGCAATTAAGTAATCTATATATTTCTATTCGATTATCCTGCCAAACAGTGTTTCTAAATATTGCTCACATGGTGGACATGGAAACAGCTCTCAGGAAACACTTTTTAAATTGGACACTGTTCACAAAACTTCGACTATATTTTTAGGTGAAATGATTCAAATAGCTTGCCAATGTTACTTCATCCCTTGCCATCGCTTCCTAACTAATGGGAATATGACTTTAACCTGGTGGTTAAGTGGTTCTTAACCTGGGACCCTTGAATGAGCTTTAGGCAAAAGAATCCTTTGGAGTTAAGTGGAAAATCTGATATGTATGCATACATTTCTGAGGAGAAAATGTTCACAGAGGAGAGTAAGAGTATGTGAGATGCTGATAGTGTAGTCGATGTGATGGAGAGAGTTGTTGGAGGTTTTCTTCACATTGTTTTTGTTTCCCAATGAAATCAGAAAAAAGGTTATCAGTAGAGAGTGAGGAAATGTTGGAAATTTGAAAAGTGGAAAGAATGAAAAATTATAATAGTACGGACACTCTTTCGTCAGACTTTCCGGATCCAAGGTCAAGAGTCAGACACTCAAAAGAAGTGAGCCATCCAGGCACCCTAGAAAAGGAATTTATAATAATAATACGTCTGCCAGCCCTTTGGGAGTCCTTTAAGGCTTTGTCAACCTTGACATTGAAAAACCAGTTTCCCTTCCCATGACCCTTGTTTTCAGAGCAAAGATCACACTTAAAAATTGCTGATCCCACTTTAAACACTAGATGTAGCTATTTGGCTTAGATCCCAGGAACTAATATTTTATGGTGAGTTTTTTTCTCCTAAAGACCTCTTTTACACGTGAAAGATTAATCTGTATGTTCCTGGGTTTTGTTTTTGTTTTTTTGACCTGCCGGCTCAGAAATTTAAAATGATCAGTTTTTGCCAAATAAGAACAGAATGTAAATTCAGATTCTCATTTGGACCACAATAGGTAAAGGAGCTAAGATTCACCAAAAGGTAAAACCAGTCTTTACTTCCTAGCGTATATTCCTCAAGCCAGAAAATAAAAACATGTAAAGGGACAGGGTAGGATTTCTTGGGTCCTCGGAACTGATAGAAGGATGAAGAGAATGCTTGTAAGACCAGATTAGGTGCACAGTGCTTAGTGAATGTTACCTTCCCAGGGAAACCAAGGAGTGGAGCACAGTCCAGAGCTAGAGGGAGAGGACTATCATTGACAGATTTCTTTTCTTTTTTTTTTTTTTTTTTTTTTTTTTTAGGATTTCATTTATTTATTTGACAGAGAGGCAGAGAACCGCGGGAATGACAGGCAGAAGGAGGGGAGAAGCTGCCTCGAGGAGCAGGGAGCCTGATGCAGGGCTCATTCCAGGACCCTGGGATTATGACCTGAGCCACCCAGGTGTCCCTATCCTTGGCAGATTTAAAAAAGAAGCTGAATATGCCTCAGCCTGAGCAGCAATCCTAATGGAATTCTTACTTAGGCCAGAAGTCAGAGCAGCATGGTCACAAAAGGAGATCACATGTAAGGGGACTATCAGCAAGGGCTACTTGTACATACCTGGTTTGTGAGCTAATTTCAGCAGGAAATTAGTCTACTAGAGATGTCAAGTACTGGCTTCCGTCCTAACCATCCCTTTTTTTGGAAGTCTGCCCTGCCTGCTGTTTGTGTTTGCAAAACAGTTGTGTTCTGCTTTGAACGTGTGGACCTTCCTGCCTCTTGACCACAGTTGTTTGGACCAAAAGATGGGCAGTCTGATGTTAAGGGAAGTCAGTTCGTGAGCTGATCAGTTTATCAATGGCCTGGTACAAAAAGATGAATTTAGCTAGTCGGGTTGCCTGTCTGGGGAATTTGGATCAAACAGAGAAAGAGGTATTTGCTGGTAGTGGGCCAATGGGCAATCCACTAATTAGACAGCTCATTATGTTCATGTGCAAGTTAAAAGTTCTAGAAGAACACAAACCCTGAGTGTTGGAAACCAATGGGTAGAGGAAAATGGAATTCCCATGAAAGGGAAGCAAATAAAAATATCATGTCTTCAGGGCACCTTAGTGGTACAAAGTGTCCAACTCTTGGTTTTGGCTCAGGTCTGATCTCAGGGTCATGAGACAGAGCCCAAGTTGAGCCCTGTGTTGGACTCAGCTCAGAGTCCATTTGAGTTTCTCCCTTTCCCTCTGCCCTTATCTTTGTGTGAGTGCACACACATTCTCTCTCAAAAAAATCTTAAAAAAAATAAAAAGATCAGATAGCCAACCTCAGACGTTCAGATAGACATTATTAGACTAGTTCTTTCCAGCACCTGCCTTCCAGTGCAGTTGTCATTAGGTCCTATGGTACTTAGGTGCCTTGTCCAGGTTCCATAAAATCCAGTGTATTTGTATAGGAAAATTCCTTAAAATTGGCTAAGCAGGTCTTATACTTCCTTATAACCAGAAAAACCAGAAACCATTTCTCTTTTTCCAGAGAGCTATGCTAATCAAGCTAAATTGTACTTATCTATATTCTTGTTATATAAACTCCTTTGTTGCTATATTTTGGGGCTCTTATTTAGCAGCTTTATTAAGGTATAATTGATGTACAATTAATTCACATTTAAATTGTACAAGTTGATGAGTTGATGACATATTTATACATCTATGAAACCATCACCACAGTCAAGATAGCAAACATTTTCATCACTCCAAAGTTTCCTTATGCCCCTTTGTAATCCATCTTCCTCTTTATTCCTGTTCCCAGGCAACCACTGATCTGTTTTCTGATACTGTATATCAGTTTATATTATTTTACAGAATTTCATATAAATGGAATCATATATTATGTACTCTTTTCTGGCCAGCTTTCATTTACCACAGATTTGAGATTCTTTTTTTTTAAATGATTTACTTTTTTTAAAAAATATTTTATTTATTTACTCATAAGAGACAGAGAGAGAGAGAGGCAGAGACACAGGCAGAGGGAGAAGCAGGCTCCTTGAGGGGAGCCTGATGTGGGACTTGATCCCAGGACCCCGGGATCACACCCTGAGCCACCCAGGCATCCCCACAACTTTGGGATTCATTCATATTTAGAGTATCGCTAGTTTGGTTTTGTTTTTGTTTTTTGCTGAGTAGTATTTCTTTGGATATAGCACAGTTTATTGATAGACATTTAGGTTGTTTCCAATCTGGTACTGTCATAAATAAAACCATTGTAAATATGTGTCTGCAAAACCAGACACTAATGTAGAAAATAAGCGGTTGAATCAACAAAATCAAAAGCTGATTCTTGAAAAAAAAAAACAGTAAAATAGATGTGCCTTTAGCAAGACTGATGTTTTTTTTTAAAAATCATTTATTTATTTATTATTTATGATAGTCACACACAGAGAGAGAGAGAGAGAGAGGCAGAGACACAGAAAGAGGGAGAAGCAGGCTCCATGCACCGGGAGCCCGACGTGGGATTCGATCCCGGGTCTCCAGGATCGCGCCCTGGGCCAAAGGCAGGCGCCAAACCGCTGCGCCACCCAGGGATCCCTAGACTGATAAATGTTTAAACCATTTTAGAAATTATAGGCGATAATTATGGATTTAGGAAGATTAAAAAATTATTTTTAGTAGAGATTTTAAAATATCACAAGAAAATGCTTATAATGAGTTTTATGCCTCCTTTCTGGGCTCCTGCTTGCCATGGTGGCAACCTCGATATGCAGAATGATGGCCATGAGCTTATGTACTTGTACCTCCCCCAGCAACCGTATCATCAGCTCAGAGGACCACCCATCCAGCCAGATGAGCATGGCTGAAGTTGACAAGGTGACAGGCAAGTTCAATGGCCAGTTTCAAGCCTCCACTATCTAGGAGGGGCCATTCCCAGGACGGGTGAGTCATATGTCTCCATTCTCTGACTGGTCGGGGCCAAGGCATTGTTTCAAGAACTTTTGACTGGAGAGGATCACGGATGTGAGATAGTTGTCACAAATCAATAGTAACCCCACCCCCCAAAGAGTTTTATGCCAATGAATTTAGAAACAGACAAAACATACCTTTCTAGAACTATGCAGATATCAAGAAGAAAAAAATTATACCAAGAGGAAAGAAAGAAAAACCTGGAATAGAACATTATCCACCCTCTGAACTATCCTACCTCCAGATGGTTTGTAATAATTCTTTGCTATGTAAATATTTTGAATCTGTAATTCAGCATATGGTTCCCATAAATTTAGCTTTTCTAAATATGATATATTTTTCAAAAATTTTTTTTATTAGGGACACCTGGGTGGCTCAGGGGTTGAGCATCTGCCTTCAGCCCAGGTGTGATCCTGGAGACCCGGGATCGAGTCCTGCATCAGGCTCCCTGCAGGGAGCCTGCTTCTCCCTCCACCTGTGTCTCTGCCTCTCTCTGTGTGTCTCTCATGAATAAATAAATAAAATCTTAAAAAGTATTTTTTTTTATTAAAATAGATCTTAGAGTCTCAGCATTTACTTTTATCTAATATTTTACCTAATCTAAGGAGTGAGGATCCAAAGTGATAGCAGCAGCCTCCTGGAGAACGAATTAGGGCAAGGCCAGCTGGATTTGGGTGGACTATTGCCTTTAGTTTGGAATATGCGGCTTACAGAGTCCACAGCTGAGCCGGGTTGTTATGGAAGGTTGATATTTGTCAAAGAGATTACCTGTCAAGGGGATTATCAGTGAGTGAATTATATGTCGCTGACAGGACAATTATAAAAGGATAGCCAGAGTCTTCAACTGAGAATCAGTTTTACTTCCCAGAGAGCTGTGTATATTTGGTTATAGAGATGAAGAGTCATTGACTGTAACCAGGGAGGTCTCATGCATTCAAAAACTCTTAAGAGTAAGGTTATAAGTACCTGAGTCACTGGTATGTCAAAATCATACTGCAAACAAACCTTATCAAGATCAAAGGATTAACAAAGGCAAGTTTAGGTGAAGGCAAAGTACTAAGAACAAGGAAGATAGTGGAACCGGCACGATGGCCAGTTGTTTTGACAAAGTCTAAATTGACTTATTTTCAAAATAAGAAAGATTCATCTGATTTTAAGTACTTACTAATTATTTAAAAATCTCACAAATAAAGGTAAGTATAAGGAAGAAAATAAGCAATGGTTAAAGTTAATATTTGGTGTGTGGCTTTTAGGTTTTTCTCTGTGCATAGAACACATATATACTCCTAATCTTTTCTTTTACAAAGTTGGATTTTATTACGTATATAATTTTGTACCTGCATTTTAGAAATGTAATGGGAGAGGCAAGATGGTGGAAGAGTAGGGGTCTTTGTTTCACCTGGTCGCCTTAATTTAGCTGGAAAACTATCAAATCATCCTGAACACCTAGAAATTCAACCTAAGGTGTAAGGAACGCACAGCTGGGACGCTGCAAATAGAAAAGTGACCACTTTTTGCAAGGTAGAAGTGCAGAGAAGAGAAACGGAGGGGGTATATCAGAAGTTAAATGAGTGGGGGAGGGAGCCTTGGTAATACAGTCCTGGGGATCAAAATGAGGACTTTTTAGAAATCTGCTGCTGTGAACGACTTCCCTGCCTGAAAGGTGCTCAGGGGTGAAGCAGGTCAGAGTCACAGATGGGGCAGTGGGTGGGGAGGGGTCAGTATTCCCAGAGGCACAGAAGGACAGAGGTGCCTCAGTTGGCACAGTTCCCAAGCTTGGGGCGAGGAAACAGGTTTAGATCAGTGAGCTCAGGAAGACATTCAGCTTGTTCTTTTTTTTTTTTTTTAAGATTTATTTATTCACGAGAGACAGAGACGCAGGCAGAGGGAGAAGCAAGCTCCCCACACAGAGCCCGATGTGGGACTCGATCCAGGATCCCGGACCACCACCAACGCTCCCTCCCGCCGCCCCGCCCCTAGCCAGAGGCAGACCCAGGCATGCCAGGTTCAGCTTGTTGCCATAAAGCTTGAAACTTGGCCAGATTGGGTAACTGCTCTCTGTGTTGGGTCCCTGCAAAGGACTGGATTGCAGCAACCCTCTGCCTTCCTCTGGGAGAGGCAGAGGGGGTGTTCATTAGGCCTGGTGAACACTCTCCAAGCCAGGGTCCTGTAATGGACAGAAGTGGGGTGACCCTCTGCTTCCTCCAGGAAGGGCAGAGAGGGGGTGCACACGAGCAGGCAAAGGCTCTCCCTGCTGGAGGCCTACAAATGGCACAAATCAGTGTCTCTGCTTGCGCCTGGGGAGGATCTGAGTGGCCTGGCCCCATAGGAGTCTGTGAGCTTGGGTGCTCACCAAGATCTCTCGGCTCCAGGCCTGCAGATCCAGGCACGGTCATGTTTTTTTTTCCTTTCACCCTCAAAAGAAGTGCTGAAAGCTTTCAGGGAACAAAAACCTCATGCAGCAAACAGCTTATACTGAGCCTGGCCCCCTGGCCAGAGGTGGTGCAACTCCACCCAGGCACAGACCCATGGGAATTAGCACAGCAGGCCCCTCCCCAAGAGGACCAGCTGGGCGAACAGGAGAACAGCAAGTTTAATGACCAAACAGGACTGGAAAACTCCAGGACTAGAGGAAAATAGTATATAGAAGTTGAGGGTTTTTTCTTATGATTCATTTATTTTTCAATTTAAAATTTTTAAAATTTTTCCTGTCTCAGGTAGTTTATTTTATCAACTTTTTGTCTTTAAGCCTTTTCTTTTTTAACTTTCATATTTTACAATTACATGTTATAGATATATTCTTCATTTTTGGCTTCCTTTCACTGTATTCAATTTTATTTTTGCATATATATGTATATATTTTTGCATATATATGTATATATGCAAAAATATATACATATATTTAATATTTGCTTTCTTTATAGTTTTGGAATTTAGTATCTTCTAACACAGAGATCAAAATACACTCAGGACCAAGTGGATAACCCTGTTTTGCACACTCTGTGAGATTATATTCTCTCTCTCCTCCCCCTTCCCCAACTTTTTTTGTTTCTCTTTTTTAAAATTTCTTTTTCTTTTTCTTTGTCTTTTTTCTTTTATTTATTAGTTCCTGATCTCTTTGGAATAGTCTAGTGTATATTTTGCTTGGGTCGTGGTTGATATTTTTGACTGCTTGTTCGTACAACCATTCTGCACTGGCCAAAATGACTAGAAAGAGGAATTGACAACAAAAGAATGAACTGAGGTTAATACTCTCTGCTACAAATCTAATAGATATGGATTTAAGTAAAATGTCAGAGATGGAGTTAGGATTACAATTATAAAGTTACTAGTTGGGATTGAAAAAAGAATAAAAGACTCTAGAGATTCTCCTGGTGCAGAAATGAGATCTAATCAGGCCGAAGCTAAAAATATTCTGAGATACAGTCTAAACTGGATACTCTAACAGCTAGTGTAAATGAGGCAGAAGAGATAATAAGTGACATAGGAGGGGTGCCTGGGTGGGTCAGTGGTTGAGCATCTGCCTTCAGCTCAGGGTGTGATCCTGGCATCTGGGATCGAGTCTCACATCAGGTTCCCCACAGGGAGCCTGCTTCTCCATGTACCTATGTCTCTGCCTCTCTCTGTGTGTGTCTCATGAATAAATACGTAAAATCTTAAAAAAAAAAAAGTGACATAGGAGACAAGTTGATGGAAAGGAAGGAAGCTAAGTAAAAGAGAGAAAAACAACTAAAAGCCCCTAAGGAGAAGCTCTGAGAAATAACTGATAGTTTGAGAAAAAAGAAAAATAACATCCAAATTATTGGAATTCCTGAGGGTGTAGAGAGAGAGAGGACCAGAAGATATATTTGAACAAATCATAGCCAAGAACTTCACTAATCTGGGGAAGGAAACAGGCATTCATATCCAAGAAGTAGAGAGGACCCCTCCCAAAATCAATAAAAGTAGATCAACACCCTGACATATAATAGTGAAGCTTGCAAATTTCAGAGATAAAGAAGGAGAAAATCCTGAAAGCAGCTCAAGACAAGAGATTCCTAACATACAGAGAAAGAAATAATCAGATTAACAGCAGACCTATTCACAGAGACCTGGCAGGCCAGAAAGGGCTTGGATGATATTTACAGGGAACTAAATGGGAAAAATATGCAGCCAAGAATACTTTATCCAGCAAGGCTATTGTTCAGAATAGGAGAGATCAAAAGCTTCCAGGATAGGCAGAAACAAAGAATATGTGACCACCAAGCCAGCCCTACAGAAAATATTAAGGGTCACCCTGTAAGTGGAGAGGGAACCCAGAAAAACAGGCAATCTGCAGAAACAGGGACTGCACAAGTAATACCATGGCATTAAATTCATATCTTTCAATAGTTACTCTGAACATGAGTGGGCTAAATGCTCTAGTCAAGAGAAATAGGGTATCAGATTGGATAAAAAAGCAAGACCCATCCATAAGCAATCTACAAAAGACTCATTTTAGATCTAAAGTACCCTTCAGACTGAAAATGAGGGGGTGGAGAACAATTTACCATGCAAATGGTCCTCAAAAGAAAGCAGGGGTAGCAATCCTCATATCAGATAAATTAGATTTTAAACCAAAGACTGTAGTAAGAGATGAAGAGGGACACTATATCATACTTAAAGTGTCTATCCAACAAGAAGACCTAACAATTATGAATATTTATGCCCCTAATGTGGGAGCAGCCAATTATATCAACCAATTAATAACCAAAGTAAAGAAACACATAGATAATAATACCTTAATAGTAGGAGATTTCAACACTCCACTCTCAGCAAAGGACAGATCATCTAAGCAAAAGTTCAACAAAGAAACAATGTTCTTGAATGACACACTGAACTAGATGAACTTCACAGATATACAGAACATTCCATCGTATTGCAGTGGCATACACGTTCTTCTCAAGTACACATGGAGCTTTCTCCAGAATAAACCACACACTGGGTCGCAAATCAGAGCTCAACTGATACCAAAAGATTGGTATTCCCTGCACATTTTTGGGCCACAATGTTTGCTTTGAAATTTGAACTCAAGAGGAAATTTGGAAGGAACTCAGATGTTTGGAGGTTAAAGAGCATCCCACTAAGGAATGAATGGGGTCTACCAGGAAATGAGAGAAGAATTAAAAAGATTTATGCAAACTAATGAAAATAAAGGCACAACTGTTTAAAACCTTTGGGATACAGCAAAGGTGGTCTGGAGATGGAAGTACATTTCAATACAAGCCTGTCTCAAAAAATTTAGAAAAATCTCAAATCCAAAAGCTAACGTTACACCTAAAAGAGATTGAGAAAGAACAGCAAATAAAGCCTAAACTGAGCAGGAGAAGAGAAATAATAAAGATTAGAACAGAACTCAATGAAATAGAGGAGAAGAATAGTAGAACAGATTAACAAAACTAGGAGCTGATTTTTTTGAAAGAATTAATGAGATAGATAAACCCCTAGCCAGACTTATTAAAAAGAAAAAAGACTCGGACACCTGGGTGGCTCAGCAGTTAAGCATCTGTCTTTGGCTCAGGGCATGATCCTGGAGTCCTGAGGTTGAGTCCCACATGGGGCTCTGTGCATGAAGCCTGCTTCTCCTTCTGCCTATGTCTCTGCCCCCTCCCTCTCTCTCTGTGTCTCTCATGAATAAATAAATAAAATCTTTAAGAAAAAGAAAAAAAGACTCCATAAAATCATGAATGAAAAAGGAGAGATCATGACAAACACCAAGGAAATACAAATGGTTTTAAGAACATATTATGAGCAATATATACCAACAAATTAGGCAATCTGGAGGAAATGGATGCATTCCTGGAAACTTATAAACTACCAAAACTGAAGCATGAAGAAATAAACCTGAACAGACCAATAACCAGCAAGGAAATTGAAGCAGTCATCAAAAACCTCCCAGGAAACGAATCCAGGGCCAGAATTCCCAGGAGAATTCTATCAAACATTTAAAAAAGAAATAATACCTATTCTACTGAAGCTGTTTCAAAAGAGAAATGGAAGGGGAACTTCCAAACTCCATTCTATGAGGCCAGCATTACCTTGATCCCCAAAAAGACAAAGACCCCATCAAAAATAATTACAAACCAATATCCCTGACAAAAATGGATGTCAAAATACTCACCGATGGGATCCAACACTACATTAAAGGATTATTCACTACCACTAAGTGTAATTTATTCCTGGGCTGTAAGAGTGGTTCAACATTTGCAAATCAATCAGTGTGATAGATCAGATTAAGAAAAGAAAAGAACCATATGATCCTCTCAATTGATTCAGAAAAGGCATTTGATAAAATATAGCACCCTTTCTTGGTTAAAACTCTCAAAGTGTAGGGATAGAGGGAACATACCTCAATATCATAAAAGCCATCTATGAAAAGTTCACAGTGAATATCATTCTCAATGGGGGAAAAACTGAGAGCTTTGCCCTCAAGATCAAGAACACAACAGGGATGCCCACTCTCAGCACTGTTGTTCATCATAGTGCTAGAAGTCATAGCCTCAGCAATTAGATAACAAAAAGAAATAAAAGGCTTTCAAATTGGCAAAGAAGTCAAACTCACTCTTTGCATATGACATGACACTGTATATGGAGAACCCAAAAGATTCCACCCCCAAATTTTTAGAAGTCCTACAGCAATTCAGCATCGTGGTAAGATACAAAATCAATGCACAGAAATCAGTGGCATTTCTATACACTGATAATGAAACTGAAGAAAGAGAAAATAAGGAATCAATCCCATTTAACTTGCACCAAAAACCATAAGATACCTAGGAATAAACCTAATGAAAGAGGTGAAGGATCTATACTCTAAAAACTACAGAACACTGATGAGTGAAATTGAGAAAGACACAAAGAGATGGAAAAACATTCCATGCTCATGGATTGGAAGAATAAATATTGTGAAAACATCTGTGCTACCCAGAACAATCTACACATTCAATGCAATCACTATCAAAATACCATGGACTTTTTTCACAGAGTTGGAGCAAACAATCCTCTAAGATTTGTATGAAAATAGAAAAGACCCTGAATAGCCAGAGGAATGTTGAAAAAGAAAACCAAAGCTGGGGGCATCACAATGCCTGACTTCAAGCTATATTACAAAGCTATGATCATCAAGACAGCGTGGTACTGGCACAAAAACAGCACATAGATCAGTGGAACAGAGCAGAGAACCCAGAAATGGACCCTCAACTTTATGGTCAACTAATCTTTGACAAAGCAGGAAAGACTATCCATTGGAAACAGGACAGTCTCTTCAATAAATGGTGCTGGGAAAATTGGACAGCCACATGCAGAAGAATGAAACTGGACCAATCTATTACACCAGACACAAAGATAAACTCAAAATGATTGAAAGATCTAAATGTGAGACAAGAATCCATCAAAATCCTAGAGGAGAACATAGGCAACAACCTTTTTGACCTCAGCCACAGCAACTTCTTGCAAGACATGTCTCTAAAGGCAAGAGAAACAAAAGCGAAGATGAACTATAGGGACTTCATCAAGATAAAAAGCTTCTGCACAGAGAAAGAAACAACCAACAAAACTAAAAAGACAACCTACAGAATGGGAGAAGATACTTGCAAATGATGTATCAGATAAAGGGCTAGTGTCCAAAATCTATAAAGGACATATCAAACTCAATACCCCAAACTCAAAAAATCCAGTCATGAAATGGGCAGAAGACATGAACAGAAGACCTACATATGGCAAACAGGCACATAAAAAAATGCTCCGTATCACTTGTCACCTGGGAAATACAAATAAAAACCACAATGAGATACTACTTTACACTGTTGAGAATAGCTAAAATTAACAAGATAGGAAACAACAAATATTGGCAGGGATGTGGAGAAAAGGGAACCCTTTTATACCTTTGGTGGGAACGCAAACTGGCGTAGCCACTCTGGAAAACAGTATGGAGGTTCCTCAAGAAGTTAAAAATAGAGCCACCCTATGACACAGCAATTGCTCCACTGGGTATTTACCCCAAAGATACCGATGTAGTGTAATGATGGGACACCTGCACCCCAAGGTCCATAGCAGCAATGTCCAATAGCCAAACTGTGGGAGGAGCACGATTTCTTTTGACAGATGAATGGATAAAGAAGATGTGCTATATGTATACAGTGGACTATTACTTAGCATCAGAGAGGATGAATACCTACCATTTACATCAACGTGGATAGAACTCAAAGATATTATGCTAAGTGAAATAAGTCAGTTGGAGAAAGGCAATTATCATATGGTTTCACTAGTGTGGAATATGAGAAATAGAGCAAGGGACCATAGGAGAAGGAGGGGAAACTGAACGGGGAAAAATCAGAAAGACAAACCATGAAAGATTTAACTCTGGGAAACAAACTGAGGGTTGCAGAAGGAGAGGTGGCTGGGGGATGGGGTGGCTGAGTGATGGGCATTAAGGAAGGCACCTGATGTGATGAGCACTGGGTATTATATGTTAGCAAATTTAATGAAAAAAATTTTAATACAAAAAAGTAATAGATCATGAATATTTTTATATGAATATATAATTGTTATCATTTATAGTGTTTCCATCACTTATATGCTACATATAACTTTTTTAAAAAGTAATTTATTTATTTGAGAGAAAGAGTGAGTAAGAGAGAGCAAGCAAGCAAGAGTCCTAGCAGGAGGAATGAGCAGAGGGAGAGGGAGAAGCTGACTTCTCACTGAGCAGGAAGCTTGATATGGGGCTTGATCCCAGGACCCTGGGATCATGATTTGAGCTGAAGGCAGATACTTAGCTGACTCTGCCACTCAGGCGCCCCTGTTAAATATAACTTAATTTTCTAATTCCATATTGTTGTACATGTAGATTAATGTTTTCACTCATATAAGCACAGGCATAATAGCGATTTTAAACTGGCATCACTGTGCACTTGTCCAATTACTTCCTTAGTGTGTATTCCTGAGTCATGTACTTCCTCAGTAAAGAGAATAATAAACATTTTAAAGAGTTTTGATATAATTTCTTTTTTTAAAGATTTTATTTATTTATTCATGAGAGGCACAGAGAGAGAGAGAGGCAGAGACACAGGCAGAGGGAGAATAGGCTCCCTGTGGGGAGCCCGATGGGGGACTTGATCCCAGGCCCCTGGGATCACACCCTGAGCCAAAGGCAGATGCTCAACTGCTGAGCCACCCAGGCGTCCCTAATTTCTTATATATATAATGTTTGGTCAGTTTACATTCCCACTAGCCTTGTCAAAACCAAGAAAAATATTATTGAGAGTAATAATAGCAAACATCTATTAAATAATTACCAAGTGCCAACCACATGTCAAATAATTTGTTACTAACTTTAATCAATAGCAATTTCTTCCCAGCCTTGCTTATTTTTAGTCTTTGACAAATTAATAGATGAAAATTTGTAGCTAATTCTAGTTTGCATGTTTTGATTAATGATTATATTGGATATCTATATGTATTAATTATTCTGTCTAACCTTTTGATATTTTTCCATTAGAGTAATATCTTTCTTTTGATATTTCTGTTCTTTTTTCCCAGGCATATATTTGGAAACCCTTTACGTGGCCTACTCTTCAGTTTTCAGAAAAGTGGCAAGACAATAGGACTTTCATGATAAAATCAAGGAAGATTATCAAGTTAAAACAGAAGGGACCTCTTATTAGTTTGTCATTAGCTATGTTTATTTTTTAAATTTTTTATTAGCTATGTTTGAAAAAGTTCCATTATTATACACGTTATTTTCTGTATGTACATATTAAAAATGTGATCAGTTTTCTGTTACCATATAATGTGAAAAAAACCGAGCAGATTCTCACCAGAATTTGAAAGTATGTCTGGAATAGTCAGGCTGAACTTATAGAATTGGTAGCAAACATAAAATTTATTTAAGGTATCTCGGGAACACCATAAAGATATAAGCTGAGTCATCCTCCAGAAAAGCTGTAGCTGAGATATAATAAGAAGCTTATGTAATTGCCAATTGAGAAACATTCCACCTGTACTAGATGCTGTGGACAGCAACTAGAAGTTCAGAAGAAAAGGAAAACAAGGTATTTTATCAATCCAGTAGAAGAGAAAAAGAAAAAGAGAAAAGGTTGGTAAATGGGACATGAGAATAATATGACAGAAATGAGATAAATATTTCACTAATCACAAAATCACCTTCTAGAAGATTTCAGATTTGTTACTTGCAAGAGACATATATAAGACAAAGCCATACAAAAGAATAAAAATAAAGAAACGAGAAATACTTGAACATATTTAGCAATAGAGCCCACATTTATAAAGGGCAAAAATAATAGATATATTATAAAACTGGCAAATCTGTAATCTCACTAGGAAATTTTAACGTGCCACCATGAGAAATTTTTAAAAGATTTATTTATTTTATGGAGAAAACACATTCAAAAGTGAGTGGGGGAGGAGGGAGAGGGGGAGGGAGAGAGAATCTCCAGTAGACTGTCTGCTGAGCATGTCTCCTGATATGGTACTCTATCTCATGACCCTGAGATCATGACCTGAGCTGAAACCAAGAATTGGCTGCTTAAGTCAGCCCTGAGTGACCCAGGTGCCCCTTCACCATTAGAAATTAGTAGCTAAATCAGAAAATCATGAATAAAATAGATTAACAACAAAATTAACAAGTATGATCATATATATCATTGTGTACAACAAATTATATTCTCTTAAATAGGTATGCTTCTAGCAAGACTGAGGAAGAGAAAGTGCATAAACAGTGTTAGAAATAACAAAAGGGATAACTACAGATTTAGTTGGTTTTGAAAAATTAGAGAATGCATGAGAAATTTTATAAGGTTAGAAACAAATAAAACAGAAATCTGTAAACCACCAAAATTGTATTGAGAAGAAAGTAAACCTGAATAAACTATTCCCCATCCACCCAACCACATTGCTTTGAGACACCAGCTCCAGATATAGGTACATATTTCAAGACACAGCGAATTCCTATCATGTACAAACTATTTCAAAGAATAGAAAAAGAAACCTACTCAACTCATTTTTATTAAAGTAATATTACCTCAATACTAAAACTAGATGAGTAATATAGGAAAAGGGTATCACTATTATGAATGGAAAATTAAATTCAGTAGCATATAAAAAATATGTCATGATGAAGTAGTCTCTGAATACAAAGATGATTCAAAATCCAAAACTCCATTGTTAAAAGATACTACGTAATTAAAGGCAGAAGAACCAATAATATGCATTTCAATAGATACAGAAAAATCATAATTTAATGTCCATTCATATTAAAAAACTCTTTTTAAAAAAGATTTTATTTATTTCTTCATGAGAGACACACACAGAGAGGCAGAGAAATAGAGGTAGGCTCCCTGCATGGAGCCCAGTGTGGGACTCGTTCCACGGACCGGGATCATGCCCTGAGCTGAAGGCTGACGCTCAACCGCTGAGCCACCCAGGTGTCCCATCATGTTAAAAACTCTTAGCAGACTAAGAAAAGAAGCAAACTTGCTAAAATTTGTTGAAGAGAACTAAAAACCAATATCAAATACCAAATGATGCTGAAATATTAGAAACATTTCCATTAAGGTAGAAACAAGATAAAGTTACCTACTGTTAATTCCATTATTCAGTACTAGAGATCTGAGACTATGTAATGTAATAAGAAAAATAATAAGAAATTTAGGAATTGGAAAGAAAAACTAACACTGTTCATTTGCAGATGATGCCATTGCTTACAAAGGAATAATATTAAACAGTCATTGTTCATTTACTGCATGCCAAGCACTAAATATGCTTCAAGATCAACATAAAAAATTGATACCTTTTCTACAAACCAACAATAAGCCATTACAAAACATAACAGAAAAGAAGATACTATTCACAGTAGCACCAAAAAACATAACACAGAAGAAATTTAACAAAATAAGTACAAGTTTATTAGGAATAAAATTACAAAATTGTTTTGCTTAAAGAAACACAATCTTAACCAGGGCCCAAGAATCTTATTGTACAAAAAACTATCTTGGAAAATTGAAAATTTGGGGCCACACTTCCCTTTTGTTGAGGAGAACTTGTGTTGAATCATCACTGATAGAGTGTTTTTCAATGAATTCCCAGAAAGCTGTATCTGCACAGGATTTGTTACTGCCCAGAAAGTTTTTGGGATTGGGTTATAAACTGGTACAATACATGCACGTATAATGTATAGATTCATTTTCTTAGTCATTACCTCCCTCCATTTCTTTTCCTTTAATTCCCCTATTTAGGTAGTCTGCTAATTTATGTAAAGACAGTACTGCATTATAGCATGTTCTGGCCTATTTTTCAGTCCCATAAGTCTCTTCTACTCATGAAAATTGTTCTGATACTGAACTTGACTTTCAGAAACATATGAAGAATGAATGTGTGTAGGCCTTCTGACATCCTCTCAGGAGTACATTCCCAGATTCTTCAGTCTGTCCTGATGGATGTATAGATTGTATGGCCACATTTACATTTTCTATACCATTCTGATTATTTTTGTTTTGTTTTGTTTCTGAATGGTCTGTATCATCATCCCCCACTTCCCTGAATTCTGTCCCAGCTACCCTTAAGATATCTGTCAGATGTCAGACTCAATCTTGTCCAGGACTTGAAGTAATGAAAACAAAGCCTTGGGCACCCGGGTGGCTCAGTCTGTTATGTGTCTGTCTTTGGCTCAGGTCATGATCTCAGGCTCCGTGCTCACCAGGGAGTCTGCTTCTCCCTCTCCCTCTCCCTCTGCCTCCCCCCCCCCAACAGATGCTCTCTTTCTTTCTCAAGTAAATAAATGAAATCTTTTTAAAAAATGAGAACAGGGGTGCCTCAGTGGCTCAGTGGTTGAGTGTCTGCCTTTGGCTTGGGTCATGATCCCAGGGTCCTGGGATCAAGTCCCACATTGGGATCCCCACAATGAGCCTGCTTCTTCCTCTGCCTGTGTCTCTGCCTCTCTCTCTGTGCCTCTCATGAACAAATACATAAAATCTTAAAAAAAAAAAAACCTGAGAACAAACCTTAGAGATATATTTGGAGTTTTCCCTCTGCCTGATTGTGGAGGCTAAAGTAATCTGTCTGTACCTTGTCTCTGAATGTCTAGAAGTTGGCATTGAAATATAACCTCCTAATTGCTTTCATTGTGTATGGGTAAAAATCCTATCTAACTTGTCCTCCTCTGTGTCGGGAGCTCAACATTTCACTTTTGCTTGAATCTGTAGTGTTTGACCATCCTCTCAGCATTTGTTCCCTGAGAAAACCAGAGACCAATTCTAATCCTTAGATAGATGACAATATGCAGTTTTAGCTCAGGACACTATAAAAAAATACCACAGATTGAGTGGCTTAAATAATAAATTTATTTTCTCATAGTTCTGGAGCCTAGGAAGTCTGAGATCAGGGTGTCAGCACAGTTGGGTTTTGGTGACACCTCCTCACTTGCAGACAACCACCTTATTATGTACCAGCATGACCATCTCTCTCTCTCTCTCTCTTTTAAAAAGATTTGTTTATTTATTTTAGAGAGAGAGAAAGAAAGTACATGTGCATGCACATGTGGGGGAGGGGCAGAGGGAAAGGGAGAAAGCGTGGGAGAGAATCTCAAGCAGATGCCCCCATTGACCGTGGAGCCCAACTCAGGGCTTAATCCCATAACCTGAGCTGAAATCAAGAGTCAGATGCTTAGCCAACTGAGCCACCCAGGTGCCCCCTTTTCTTCTCTTTTTATGAGGACACTAATCCCATTATGGGGGTCCTAGGACCTCATCTAAATCTAATTATTTCCCAAAGGTCCTACCTCCAAATACTATTGGTTGTGATCCCAATGAACAAATTATTCTTTGCAAAAATGCCTCTAGCTAAAGGTGAATCTAGAGGTTAAAATCCAGTCTGGGTTCTGTTAGTTAAGATCTGTATCCTGATGCAGGGAAGGAAAGGGCCTCCCCGCCCTTTGCCCCCCCCTTTTTTTGTAATTTGCATAAACATACTCTATGGGTTAACAAAAACTTGATTGTCCTGGTATCTTCTTATCAGATTACTCTTGTTTAATTAAGCCAGTGTCCTCTAAATGTTCTTGAGAACACAAAATAAATATTTTCTATTTTCTAAGATTTTCTTTTGTTTTTGGCAGAAAAATTAGTCGTGTGAAATTTTATCCTCTTCTTAGTCATAAGAACATTGCTCTCATCTCTTGCTGTACATTTGTATATAAGTTCCTTGGTGTTGTGTGTATATATATTTTTTTTACTGTTTACTGAGGTGTGGCATAGATCCTTTCTCTCATCTCTGAATGTGGAGGGTGAGGTGATTTGTAGAGAGTTTAGGAAATATCCTGGTATGTTTGAGCTTCTATTTCTGTTCTCAAGGCAGTGAAGAAACTGCTTGAGCAGTTAAGGCTGAGTGTCAGCAAAAGGGTGTGTGTGTGTGTGTGTGTGTGTGTGTGTGTCTTGGGGGTGTGGGGAATATAGTGGAGAAGATTTATAATGACTTTGAGATTCTGAAAGCAAGAGAGTTAGAGAAACTTTTTTTATTCATATTGACAAGATTGCTCAAATATTGTCTTCCAGGGATTAAAGGATTCCTTATCTGTCTCTGCCACCACCTCCTAAATTGGAGCAGCAAGGATGGTTTGACATAGGATCTCATTTTTGTCCTACATTGGATGAGGCTTTCTAGTTAAAGGTGAGAAACTCTAGGGGCTGCCCTAGGAGAGAGGTAGAGTAGCAGGTCTTAGAGCAAAGTCTGTTGGATTATACATGCAAAGCCAGATGGGAAACTAGATATAGAGAGAATAGACCATAAGCAGGTAATCAATTCAGTGCCCTAAGGTATAGAGAATCCATCTACCAGGCTTGGGATTCAAAAAGGAGACTCAGGAAAGATTAAGGACTGGGATATCAATAGAAATGAAAAAATCTTTAAAAATTTTTTTTATTTGGGAGAAAGAGGCGGGGAGAGAGAGAGTGGGGGGGAGGGCAAAGGGAGAGGGAGAGAATCTCAAGCAGACTCTCCACTGAGCATGGAGCCAGATGAATGTTGGGCTTGATCTATTGACCCTGAGATCATGACTGACCTGAGCTGAAATCAAGAGTCAGATGCTTCAATGGACTAGACACCCTGCTGCCCCAATAGAAATGAAATTTAAGGAATCATCACCTGATTAACAGTATTTTCCCTGCCAGTGTGGGAGCCCTCAAGAGAAAACAGAAAACAAATTGGATTGGACATTTAACAGTTGGTTAGGGGTCGGACTCTTGGTTTTGGCTCAGATCATAATCTCAGGTGTGCTGGGATCAAGTCCTGCACTGAGCTCTGTGCTCAGTGTGAAGTCTGCTTGGGATTCTCTCTCTCTCTTCCTGCCTGTTCCACTTGTGCTGTGTGTGTCTCTTTCTCTAA